CTCAGTCTGGTTTTTTGGAACAGGCCACCCCCTAACTGCTTCTATCTTAGCAGGGTCTGGCATCACCCCCCCTGCAGATATGACATGGCCGAGGTAATGGACCTGCGTGGAGAACAAGTTACACTTGGATGGTTTGACTTTAAGATTGGCCTGCCGGAGCTTTTGGAGCTCGCCATCCAGGCGGTTCAGATGTTCCTGAAAAATCCGGCCAAACACAATAATATCATCCAAGTAAACCAAACAAGTAGTCCACTGCAAGTCTGCGAGGATCAAGTCCATCAACCTCTGGAAAGTAATGGGTGCATTACAAAGACCAAAACTCAGGACATTTACTCAAACAGCCCCTGGTGTGTGATGAAAGCAGTCTTGTGGCAATCTTTAGGATCTACTTCCACCTGCCAATAGCCACTCACCAAATCCAGGGTGGAAAACCAACAAGCATGACCAAGACTATCCAAGGCATCGTCAATTCTGGGAAGGGGGTAGGCATCCTTTCTAGTAACATCATTGAGTTTCCGATAATCAACACAGAACCGAAGCCCCCCTTGCTTCTTTTCACTAACACCACAGGTGCCGCCCATGGACTACAGGAAGGACGAACAATACCATTGTTCAGCATTTGCTTTACATTTTCAGTTACTTCTTGCTGCAAGTGGAGGGGAATTCTTCGTGGGTGCATCTTAACAGGCTTGGCATCCCCTGTGTCAATCTCATGCAAGATCAAGGGAGTCCTGCCTAAATCAGTCTCCCCCTGACTAAACACAAAGGTGTTGTGGTGCAGTAACTGTCTGATTGCACTAAGCTCCCCGGGGGAAAAGCCCTTTTGCCCCTCTTTAATGTTCACGCTTCGTTGTTTACATTGATAACACGTAATGGCAGCAGGCCCTGTTCAACTTTACAAACCACTCGGGCTACCAATATGTCACAGTGTTGAGGGAGGGAGGTGGAGGGTTCCAGCATCCCTTCCGCATAATCCCCCCACCCGCTCTGGACCTGGCCCTAAATTATGGCCTCGCTACGTGGGGGAACAATGGTATCAGACTGTACGGTAACTACTTGGGGTTTTAATGATGGGTTAAGATCAACCAGAGGAAATTGCTTGCCCATAATCTGGCAAGTCTTTTTCCCTAGATCAACCACAGCGCCATATTGCGATAAGAAATCAAACCCAAGCAGGATCTCTTCTGAGGGAATATCGGAGACTAAAAACTCTGCAACCAGCAAAAGGGAATCAAATTGACGTACAGTCTGCCAGCACCCCACAATATGCATGCCCCCACCGCTTGCTGCCGTAGCCCTGCCGGCATAATTCCCCAAATCACACCCTCCTTTAGTAACAGAAAGCCATAACTGCTTAGGAATTATAGAGCATGAGGCTCCAGTATTTACAAGTACATGACAGTCAAACCCACCTATTTTAGCTTTAAGATAGCCGGAACCACCCTTTCGACTATCAGGGACCTCAGTGGATGAAGCGGGGGGGCGGACATTTGGCCCTCTGTGCATGCCCACTCTAGTTTCCCTGTAGATAAGGACAGTCACGCCGTATGTAACGATTACACAAATTCCACCAGCCTAGCTCTGTGGTCATTAAAGATTCTAATCTAATCTAATCTAATCTAATTTTACAGCCACACTCCCAACATCTTCTTATTCGCTCAACATCTTGCTTGGGTGCAGGAACACGTGTTTGACCTAGGTGAGGGGAAGGGCCTAAACCTGGGGGTACCGGGACAGTTTGAATTGGGTCCACTAGAGCCTGTACTGTACTTCCTGTCGTAAACCTTCTACAACCCCCAAAAGTGCATCAACCCGCTCATCACTGGCAGATTTCTCAGCAACCACGCGCATTCTAGCATCCGGGGCTGTGTAACCACTCTCTAAGCCTCTGATAAGGTCAAGTTCGGCTGCAAGATTAATAGCATCATCCAGTGTAGCAGGATTGGCGCTGCGAAGGCTAACGCGAAAAATCTCCACCTCCCACCTGTGCAACAAAATGGTCTTTGGCCAACAGATCTTGTGTGTTAAAGGGTGGGGTAGGTAAGTTTGAGAAACCGGCTCGAGATACACTTTTTGTTATATTCCATGGAATGCTCTTAACATCCCGATAGCAATGAATATCTGAAGTGCTTTGAAAATAAATCCATACAAAAATATCATCTGTGGAAGCCGTAATACTGTAAAAAGCACGACCAATAATTTTAGCCAGCCCGGCTAAAATAACTGGATGGCCTACCTGCCTGTCAGCCTTCCATCTGTGCACAAACTTATCTTGTGCTCTCATTGGTCAATGTGCGCGTTTTGTGTGTGTTGGAGGAGGGCTCTGTAAGGAAGTGGCAGATTTTTTTCCGGCTGTGTATTTTCAAATTCTAGCGCACTGGAGCTGGTTTCTCCAAAATTACCTACCCCACCTTTAAGGTCTGCCGTGGGATACGCTCTAACAACCAACCGCCGCGCGTCTTTCAACAGACATA